CATACATTGATAATAACAGTAAATTCTTGTGCTGTCTGCACATTTGTGTCTGTTTTTTGATGTGGTTTTGACATATGTATCTGTACGACAGGTAGCCCATTGGTAGTCATAGTAACGAGGTATCTTAATGCAATGTACAGTTCCAGCTGGACCAAACCAACGATTACAAGTACCGGTGACTGCTTCGGTGGCTAATATGTAGCATACAGCAATGATGACCAAATATAATACGGTTTAATTGCTGCCTCTTCATAATGGACGAGTATGCTACTTCCCTTTGAACAAGTACACGGTAAATTACTTTGCAATATGCCCTTGCGAGTTTCTGAAAGAAACATAAATAATATGCATACATAACAATAAAAATGCCTGATGAGCCCCCCTCAAGCGTCAGAGTTCTTATTGGATAGGAGAGCTGACTTATAATGGTAGTGTTAAAATGTTGCTGTATTGTAAGCATCTGTGACTGAACGTGAATGTTTACACAGTGCGTATATATTTGAAATACCGACGTTTAGAAGTGCCAGTAAGATTGCGGATGTCATGGTCAAGTGAGCAGACTGTAACCTGTAGTTAGTTGCGACGTGAACAAGAAACAGCTTTAAATTTTACACGTTTAAAATTATAAAGAACTACTGTTATTAAGAGCATCAACAAGCCGGACGAATGTGCAACGAGGACGGCTATTGATATCATATTAATGCAAGAAAATGAGCAGAATGAACAATTAAAATCCCACTACAGAAGTTTTAGATGTTGCCGTCGCTCTGTTTACAACGGCAAAATACAGATTATCACGTCTTGTACACAACGTTTACATTTCAAACTGGGACAACTGCTATACTTTCAATTGGGCCCACGAATTTAACTTTTGTCAATCAAACCCTGTGTTGATCTCAATCCTTAAACTGTACTATTTTCATATAATGGATAATAAACGACAAGTTTTCTTCTGCAATCATTTGGTTCAACGACAACGAGTTTCTTTGCCGTCGCTTTCCCGTCCTACATCGTTAAGCTTGTTATTTGTTGCTTGTTTTGCTGCAGTTAGTGAGCATCTGCAGTGTGGGCTACAAATAATGAAACAAACTTTTAATAAGTTGAAAAACTGCGTGTTTTTGAGGTAATTCTGAAGAAAACTAACACCCTTCTACACTCCCCACTCTCCAGACATGTTACGCCACGCTATAAAATTTTTATGCTGCTTTTACACGTCGCAAATGCATCGTCATCGTGCACTAGTATATTGCCTGCGTGCATTCTGTCGAAGCGAAACGATTCCGTGATGCTATTCATTTTTTATGTGAAATACTGTAAAAATTAGAAGACGTACCTTTAGGCTTTAGTTTGAAGAATAACGGTCTGAGAAGTTTTAAGCGCAGTCTTCAAATCTCGAATGACGCGTACTTCCAGCTGTCGCACCTTAATTAAATAACCCCATGTGAGGCACAGCACGATAAAATTGATAATTTTATTAAATAAATAATGAAGCTAACTTTTAGTAAATTGAAAAACTGCGCGTTTGTGAGGTAATTCTGAAAAATCGTTTCTACACTCCCCACACTCCAGACATGTCTCCAGACCAAGGATTACAAGTACCGGTAACTGCTTCGGTGTGGCATATGTGACAGCAATGATGATCTAATATACAGTGCGTTTAATTGATGCCTCTTCATATTGGATTCCTTTTGTACAAGTAATATTGTGCAATGTCCTTCTTAATTTTCTGTATAGGTTGTAAAGGAAACATAATTATTATATACATGCAGAACAGTCGGAAAATTCATAATGAAGGTCCCTTAACGTCAGACTCTTTCTTAATTGCTGTTCTAGCGCAGATTAGGTTAGCGCAGATTTTAAGCCTACAAGAATATAAACACAGCACAAAAAGAAAGTTCCCCTCTAAATATATCATCATAAGTTCTAAATAAATGATTACGTTACAATCAAACCTAGTAGTACTTAGACCCATGGTAGTTAGCTTTATGCTGTTTGAAGGAAGTTATGCATGGTCACCTAACCCTGCTAACCTCCAGTCCTCCATTGAATACTGAAATACTCAATTTCAAAATTCACAAGAATTACTTTATTTAAATTTCTCAACAACAGTAATGTTTCATCAATGATTTCATAATGGGTGTAACCACCACGCTTCTGAATTACCTCAAGACATCTCCTCATGTTGAGGAGTCTGCTCACTTGCTGTTGAGATATAGCTATCCATTTCTCCTGCAACAATTGAGCCAAGTCAGCCTGCGTGCAGTATTCTTTGAACTGGCGATAGACATACCGCTTTTGCCGGTCCCGAAGATACTCAATTGGGTTGAGATCTGGCAAGTTTGCAGGCCACATCATTCTCTTTCTGAGGAGACGATGCCGAATTAAGTTATTGAAAAGCGTGGTGTTTATAACCATTATGAAATCATTGATGAAACATTTGCTGTTGTTGTGAAATTTAAATAAAGTAATTCTTGTTAATTTTGAAATTGGGTATTTTTGTATTCATTGGAGGACTGGAGGTTAGCTCGTTAGGTGACCATAACTTCCTTCAAACAGCAAAAAGCTAACTACCACAGGTCTAACTACTCCTAAGTTTGATTCTAACGTAATCATTTATTTAGAACTTATGATGATATATTTAGAGGGGAACTTTTTTTGTGTGTTGTGTTTACATGCGCAACTGGACAAAATGAAATGGTACACGCTTAGTACAAAACAGAATTACCATGTATGAAATAGCGCAAGGTGTTCTGAAGTGAATTACTGAATTCTATATGTGAAACATTTTGCGCAACTATATATTAGCTAGTTACTATCGCAAAAACAATTTATTATTCATGTATTTACTTTGGTTTGCAAACGCACTAAACTTTAACTTTAATAGCGTAGATATATACACAGCTTCTTCTATTAAGCCAAGATAAGAGTGAAGGCAGCCAATGCACAGCTTAAAAACAACATTTGCTTCCTCACAAGCGTCCGCGTTAAAGACTTATTGCCGAATGAAGTGTTTATGGAAAGAAAACGATGAAAGACTGAAAGAACTTAATGAACTTAATGAAAGACTGTGTTTATGGAACAATAAACCGGAATTTAGAGTGTAGTCTAGAAACCTGTGTTTTTTTCCCCAACAGACATAGGCGTGGCTTGCTAACAATGATAGTTATTTCACCTTGCCAATATACAAGGAACTTATTAATTGTTATAAGTTGTCTGAGAATATAAATATTTAATTTAAAGAGTTTTTAAGAAAGCACTACTAGTGGTTTGTATGAACTAATATTTTGAAGTATCGTTATTTCCGACAGGAACATAAAGCTAAAAATAACGGCAAATCTGCAACAATAACATTGTCTTATGATTAAAGCAACACTTTGCGGAAAAACTCGAGCTAAATATTTTTTTGAAATTTATAAAGACGACTACAATCTTATACGAGTTCATTGGCGAAGTAATTTTTAAAATAAACTTTGTCTAAACCGAGAAAATCAAAGCTAAAGTTTATGTAAATTAACGTGATTTTTTATCACATATAAAACCACGACACGCTTATGATTTTTCTTTGCGTTTTGCTCCTGAATTATTAATGAGTTTTTGAAGCATATGTCAACAACAAATAACCAAACCGGACGAGCAATTTTTCTGTGATAAGTTTTCATATGGCAAGTTTTCTTTGTCATTTGCGCGTGTGTGTGTAGAACAAAGTTTCTATAACAAGGTTTTGGGTTTCTGACCGGCCACGGTGTCTATATTGTTTTATATAATACCTTATTGAATTCTGATCGTTTAATTGGCTGTTTATGGTCACGTGATATTGAATAGAAAATTCCATTTCCCAAGAGTGCAATGGAATACGTTCCATTGCGCTCTTGCGAGTGCAATTGTTCTATACGTTTTATTCCATTGCACTCTTTGTGTTTTCGATAAATCGCATCCGTCAAAATGCTTCTCGTACGGTGATCGCAGTTTATTTTAACCCGATATTCGAAACTCAGTAAATGGGATTTAATGCAAATACGACTCGTCAAAATGGCGGGAGCTTATAGTAAACCTTTTAATATTAGTCTATTTTGGTATTATATAAAACAAATAATGAATGTTTTTATTCGTGCAATGGTAAGAATATTTTCATTCGGTGAAAGATGGAATGTTCCATTCAACTTGTGTATATATTTTTCTCATATGCCGAGTCATTACTGAAGTTCTCGCTCCAGATATATAGAGCTCACTGAGCCTACTTGCCCCGCTAGAGCCTGCTCGCAGGCTAGGAATGTTGGCAAAGTTTGGATCATACAATTCGCAACACAACTGAACGAAGCATTACACTCATTACACTTATTTTGAAACACAATGTATTATACCTTTAAACTTATTCTGAGACTCGCGATGTAGTTGAAATTATGTTGTTTTTTCAAAAACAAAGCGATCACTTATTAACGCATTTAGCATTTCTCGTGTCCAGGAATGCGCGGCAGCTTTTGTAAAAACTATGACAGCATGAAATGTAGCCTGCGTGGCAGGCGTTTAGTGCGGGCGGGAGAAGGCTGCTACGCAGGCTACATGAAATGAAATTGCTTTTTTCCTGTTTCGTTGTTTCTATTTTTAATTTGTATCACTATATATACCGGATTATAACTGATAATAGTTAAAATGCTTGTTTAATTTCATTTCGTTTTTGCTCGAACGTAATTCAAAATTGGAAAAAATGGTTGAAATAATAATCAGAGACAGTTTTGCTGACTAGCTGTATATACCAGCTTTTATTGAAGTGCTTCATGTGCGAATTACATTCTCAATTATGATTAAGCATGTTTTATATCATTAAGATGTGACTATACTAAATGTGTGCATCTAATGTGCATATAAATCTTCTCTAATTAAATGAAAAAGTTTTACTTTTATTAAACATAGAGCAGTTTAATTTAAAGTCGTTTAATTATAGCAATGTCAATGGCAATGATGCATTATTTATGATATATTAAACAAGGAGTTGATAACCAAAAGAACAAAGTATGTCAACAGGAGGGTATACATTTCTCTGTGCATTATGGCTGCATTGCTGTCTTGTGATTTCAAGGATGTGATATTAAACGCATGTTCTTTGCAATTCCAATCCAAACAACCATTCAACTTCATGATTTCAATGCTTTCTCCATCAATCATCAAATTAAGAGTTCCATTCAGAACAGCTTCGCTCAGTTGCACCAAAATTGCGGTGAGGTTTGCAGGCTTTGTTAAGGACAATGAACTGTTGTCAAAAGCCTCGTATTTAAAACGATCCGCTACAAGTAATCGGATAGACATTATATTGTTGTCGTGTGCAGTCTCATTGTTCGCATAAGCAAACCAAGCCACGCCCTTGTCTTTCCACATTTGCTCCAAGGCCAATGCATCCACGATCTTTCCTGCAAATTGCGATCTTGCAATTTCTCTGTCATCTGGGACTGAGCGTTTTCTTCGTTTAGAAGCCTTGTCCCAGTCATTGTCTCTTATAAACATGGAGAGTTGAATTGGGGAAATAGAATTTTGTACCCAAACTTTGATTCGCACATTCATTTCTCGGACTATATCATTTATTGGATTGTTTTTGTTAGCTATTTTGTTTACTTCTTCCTGAATTTTAGTCTTGACTTCTTGTGTCTTGGTATTTTCCCTGCATCCTTTCCTAACATCGATCAGTCCTTTCAAAGTGGGCCAAAATGCCTTCCCAGATGGACGATTTAATAGTCCAAAAGACTGTGTCTTTATCTTCGTTTGATAAACGACAGTACGATAGTGATGTTTCATCAGGGTTTAGGTAGCAAGGGCTGTGTGTTTTGAAAGCTGTAGATTTTAGATCTTTACAGGTCTTAACACGAAATGTATCTATCAGTGGAACCAGTTTAACTTGAAGGCATTTCCGGACGGCATCGACCCATTTCTTACCTTCTTGGGAAAAGCCTTTGTAGCTTTTATCGTAAAGTTGGCAAAACTTCTCTGCAAACTTGATGGCATAGTCGTCTTTGTCATTTTCACATTTGGGATAGGCTTTGTTAAGACACTCTCTGTACCAATTACATTTTCTTCCATCAGGACTATAACACCATGCTGGTAGTGGAACTTTTACAGTAGGTGGAGGGCCAATTGGTGAACACTTGCATTGTGAAAAAACAACACCATTCTCTCTGCCATACACATCAAGCATACATTGATAATAACAGTAAATTCTTGTGCTGTCTGCACATTTGTGTCTGTTTTTTGATGTGGTTTTGACATATGTATCTGTACGACAGGTTGCCCATTGGTAGCCATAGTAAATACCTGGAACCTGAATGCAATGTACAGCTCCAGCCGGACCAAACCAAGGATTACAAGTACCGGTGACTGCTTCGGTGGCTAATATGTAGCATACAGCAATGATGACCAAATACAATACGTTTAATTGCTGCCTCTTCATAATGGACGAGTATGCTACTTCCCTTTGAACAAGTACACGGTAAATTACTTTGCAATATGCCCTTGCGAGTTTCTGAAAGAAACATAAATAATATGCATACATAACAATAAAAATGCCTGATGAGCCCCCCTCAAGCGTCAGAGTTCTTATTGGATAGGAGAGCTGACTTATAATGGTAGTGTTAAAATGTTGCTGTATTGCAAGCATCTGTGACTGAACGTCACTGTTTACACAGTGCGTATATATTTGAAATACCGACGTTTAGATGAGTGCCAGTAAGATTGCGGATGTCATGGTCAAGTGAGCACACTGTAACCTGTAGTTAGTTGCGACGTGAACAAGAAACAGCTTTAAATTTTACACGTTTAAAATTATAAAGAACTACTGTTATTAAGAGCATCAACAAGCCGGACGAATGTGTAACGAGGACGGCTATTGATATCATATTAATGCAAGAAAATGAGCAGAATGAACAATTAAAATCCCACTACAGAAGTTTTAGATGTTGCCGTCGCTCTGTTTACAACGGCAAAATACAGATTATCACGTCTTGTACACAACGTTTACATTTCAATTACATTTCGTTAAGCTTGTTATTTGTTGCTTGTTTTGCTGCAGTTAGTGAGCATCTGCAGTGTGGGCTACAAATAATGAAACAAACTTTTAATAAGTTGAAAAACTGCGTGTTTTTGAGGTAATTCTGAAGAAAACTAACACCCTTCTACACTCCCCACTCTCCAGACATGTTACGCCACGCTATAAAATTTTTATGCTGCTTATACACGTCGCAAATATACATAGTCATGGTGCACTAGCTAGTGATTGCCTGCGTGCATTCTGTCGAAGTGAAACGATTCCGTGATGCTATTCGTTTTTTATGTGAAATACTGTAAAAATTAGAAGACATACCTTTAGTTTGAAGAATAACGGTCTGAGAAATTACCAGCGCAGTCTTCAAATCTCGAATGACGCGTACTTCCAGCTGTCACACCTTTTAATAAACCTTTGTGAAGCTATAATGGTTTTGTTTGTGGAAACACCACGTAAATTTATTACTACAAAGCTTTCGATCCGTAAGCCCGGATCTTCATCAGTGCTAATAATAACATATTATTAGCACTGATGAAGATCCGGGCTTACGGATCGAAAGCTTTGCAGTAATAAATTTACGTGGTGTTTCCACAAACAAAACCATTATAATTTATCACCATGCAAACATACAAAGAACTTTGTGAAAAGCTATTGGCACAGCACGATAAAGTCGATAATTTTATTAATGAAACTAACTTTTATTAAGTTGAAAAACTGCGCGTTTTTGAGGTAATTCTGAAAAAAACTAACACTTTTCTACGCTCCCCACACTCCAGACATGTCTCCAGACCAAGGATTACAAGTACCGATAATTGCTTCGGTGTGGCATATGCATGTATAACATGCATGCATGCAGCAATGATGATCAAATATACAGTGCGTTTAATTGATGCCTCTTCATATTGGCTTCCTTTTGTACAAGTAATATTGTGCAATATCCTTCCCTATTTCCTAGGTTGTAAAGGAAACATAATTATTATATACATGCAGAACAGTGAAAATTCATAATGAAGGTCCCTTATAAGCGTCAGACTCTTTCTTAATTGCTGTTCTATAGCGCAGATTAGGTTAGCGCAGATTTTAAGCCTACAAGAATACATAACTGGACAAAATGAAATGGTGCACACTTAGTACAAAACAGAATTATCATGTATGAAATAGCGCAAGGTGTTCTGAAGTGATTACTGAATTCTATATGTGAAACATTCGGCGCAACTATATATTAGCTAGTTACCATCGCAAGAACAATTTATTATTTATGTACTTACTTTGGTTTGCAAATGCACCAAACTTTAACTTTAATAGCGTAGATATATGTGTAGCTTTTATAAGCCAAGATAAGAGTGAAGGCAGCCAATGCACAGCTCAAAAACAACACTTCCTCACAAGCGTCCGCGTTAAAGACTTATTGCCGATTGAAGTTGACTGCATGTGTTTATGGAACAATTGACCGGAATTTAGAGTATAGTCTAGAAACCTGTGTTTTTTCCCCAACAGACATAGGCGTGGCTTGCTAACAATGATAGTTATTTCACCTTGCCAATATACAAGGAACTTATTAATTATTATAAGGTGAAATTTAATAGTATCGTTATTTGACTGTATATATATACCAGCATTTTATTGAAGTGCTTTTACTGTATTACTATTATGATATAAAACATGATTATCCATTAATTGTATACTAGTGATTACTTATTCTAACCTTAACCCTGATCATAACCCAGTTATTATAACAGAATCTTAATCATCACACTGATGATCGTAAGCATAAAACCAAAATGCTAACTTAATACTAAAGTACTAAAATCTAAAAATATAATCTAATAGTGTGCACCAAAATTATTGTGACAACACTTCAGGGCATATGGAAAGTTACTTGGTTACTAAAAGTCCTCTCTAAAAGTCAGTTTATAGTGATTTATGATACCAACAAAGAGCTGACTGCGGCCAAAAGAACAACATATGCAAAAGTATATATTTCTTTTTGCGACGCTGAATTCGGAGAACTGCATCGGCAGCTACTATTAACGTCACCTCTGTCTAATTCATACTTATACAACATACACTGATAGAGGCAATATGTATCCGATTTGATTCTGCAGTAGTGCCTGCCGTTCGACTTTTGTGCCAAGTACGAGTTTGTGCGACAAGTAGCCCATTGGTAGTCGTTGTACCCTGACAGCTGGACACATTCTGTGGCTCCATTTGGCCCGCTAAAAGGAGAGCATGTGGCTGCTTCGGTGTAGCTTATGTAGCATGTGGCGATGATTAACAAATACAGGGTCAGGGCGTTGAAGTGGTTCTTCATTCTGAACGTGCACTTTCGTTGGAATAAGAGTACTTGATGCTCAATGATTTGTTAGGCTCTGAAAATAAATATAGTAAAAATCAAACGTGTGGTCATTAGTGATCACACTGTATAACCTGTAGTTATTTATGACTTGTTTTTGCGCAGTATATATACCATGGTATATACCATTTCCTTGCGCCCAGTGAACAATTTAGGCTTTCGGAACTGTGTGCCGTTTTTGTGCCAAAAAGGTACAACTATATTTAAAATACACAACAAAATAAGCTGTTCTGCGCCAATTGGTGCAGATTTGTGCGTCAACAACGACAGAATTTTCATCACACTTATCTACACGTCAGACATATCAGGCCACGCCTTGAAATTTATATCTGCTTATATATACACGAATACATGGTACCCTGTATTTCTGTAGGTATTACTGGTATATATACGTGGTACACTATGTGAAAAATTGTAAAAATTAGAAGGCATACCTTAAATTTGAAGGATCTGAGAAGTCCCCAGCGCAGTCTTCAAATCTCGAATGACGCGTCGTTTCAGCTGTTACACCTTGATTACACTGCAAAAATACCATGCATGTCAAATAATTTGCTGCAAGACAATATTCAGTAATAAGTTCTTTGAATGTTTGCATGGCGATAAAATATAATTGTTTTTGTTTGTGGAAACACCACGTAAATTCTGCTTAGAGAAGAAGCCAAAAAATTTTTTTTTGTTCATAACAGCAATTGACTTTCGGTTTAATTTCCATCGAACACTTAGTTCGGTCAATATTCAGTAATCCCAGCGTGATAAAATCATAATTAAATATCTGTCGTCACCATACTTTCCCGTGTGGATGGTTAGGTGCAGACGTGGTCAGCTGATGATCTGCGGATTTGAGTTACTTGGATTCAGGTCCGAATCACGTGAACCTGTCCATTCAGGACCTGACCACCGAACGTCTGCACCCTACCACACCGAACTAAGTGTTCGATGGAAATTAAACCGAAAGTCAATTGCTGTTATGAACAAAAAAATTTTTTTGGCTTCTTCTCTAAGCAGATTACTGTTGCAGTTGGCTATGAATTAGCTAATGACCTGTGAGTCTGCTTGGCACTCTCTATATCCGATATCCTGAGGGCACCTGTCGTACCCAGACTGCGCGCGGTTCCTATGATATTAACCTTGGTTACTATGTAACCTCATTAAATTCATTTCATATAGTGATGCATATTTGGAAGATATGATTACGGAAAACTATAGATTAAAGATTTTAAAACGTGCATTGAGCAGTAATTATGTGATAAAAAAGCGTGACATACCTAATAAAACACTCCTGCTCGTTTTTTTAAATAGTACATAAGGCACTCCTCACTCCTGCTCGTGTTTTAAGTAGTACGTAGTGTTACTGTAAACCGTCGCTGTATTGCATGCACTCGACTGTCTCCACAGTATATTATGTGTACTTGAAATACCGAAGTGCTATAGTAGTACAGGTTTGTCTTGGAGAAACGTTTTTGGCACAGCAACATTGCGCACTTGTTTTGGCGGAATATGGACGTCTGACGTATGGGATACAAACTGAAACTATAAACTTTGAATAAATTGAAAAATTGCGCGTTTTTTAGATAATTCTGAAAAACTGACATTGAGGCGATGTTGCCCGGATCCAAACAACGCCAATTCCCAACGCCGTTGGCTGTCGAACTAATCAAATTTCGTGTAATTTTGCATTGCGAATCGTCGTTGAAAATCGTTCTGTGTAAGATGACGTCGCAAAAACATCGCGCACTAATATTGCTTATCTGCCTAAGCGAGACAGTTCATATTATCTATCCTTCTTAATGTGAAATACTGTTTAACTTATAGGAGACGTACCTTTAGTTTGAAGAAAAATGACTTGCGAAATTTCCAGTGCAGTGGTCCAGCCTCGAATGATGCATTCTTTCTGTCACACCTTATAAATAACATATCAAGGGCTATATCAATCTCGTTTCCCGAGCATGCCCGTTCGCAGGTTAAGGGTGGGCATAGCTCTGGAGAAATCGAATTGATTCACGTTGAATTTCCAACGTGAGTTCTACGCATGCTCAGCAATTGTTAAGAAATGGCGGCACCATAATTATAACACAGCACGATTGATTATTTTTCACCACAATAATTAACACTGTTTGACCATGGACATTAATTACATGCAGCGAAAACACAGATTTTGAGGAAATCTCGCTCTTACGAATTAAGACGAAAGGCATTACGCTTACGACTCATGAGATTAAGTCTCCCAGGCTGAGAGATTAACGACGTAGAAAAAAACAGACGCTTTATTGTAAAAGCCCATATCGTACTCGTAGTAAAAAAACGTCGTGGGGAAAATAAATCGTGGCGATTTTTCAAGAGAGAGAATATTTATTAGCCTCCTCTGCAGGCAACTCTTTGGCAAAAGTATTATGAATAACAGAGAATTTAAAGTTAGGGATTGTTAGGAGGCTAGATCTATATTTATCGACTGGCAAAACCAACATTCAACAAGGAACTTTATTATTGTCAATTCTTGTTGTGACGTCAAACATGGCGATGACGTAAAAAGATAACAGGATATCTACTTTCCAACAATAGTGTTCACTTGTTCTTGACGTCTTGTTTCGTCTTGGTCGATATTTCGACAATATCACGTTTTGATAAAAAAAAAACCAACAAGCTGGATACACATTTGAAACGCGTATTCAATTAAACACTCATGATAAGAACGATAAGAGCAAGTTGACGTAAGACGACGAGATATGAAAGAACATCTTTTGTTTTTATTAGGTTGTGACGTCAATCAAATATATACGAACTCTTTATTCGCTTAATTTCACACTGGTCTCTGGCGACCCTAGCTTGTGAACAGTATATAGACAATTAATCCAATATATATATATATATATATATATATATATATATGTAGCGGTTTTTGAGTTGTTTTCAGACGAGTGTATACCAAACCGGGCAAGCAGAAAATTCTGCTTGACCGCGGCTGGGATTCGAACCCGCGACCTTCGTATTTCTAGAACGATGCTCTACCGTCTGAGCTACAAGGTCAAGCTGAGAACGACGTGTTAAGTTATGATGTTAGTCAGTCACATTTCGGAGGTTAGTCCTTCAATGCGTAAAGCCAGCTATTAGTCTGGCAATGTTGTATGTGAATGTTGTGGTTTCCCACGTTGACGATTCCACTCGTGTTACCTTATGTAGCGGTTTTTGAGTTGTTTTCAGACGAGTGTATACCAAACCGGGCAAGCAGAAAATTCTACTTGACCGCGGCTGGGATTCGAAATACGAAGGTCGCGGGTTCGAATCCCAGCCGCGGTCAAGTAGAATTTTCTGCTTGCCCGGTTTGGTATACACTCGTCTGAAAACAACTCAAAAACCGATATATATATATATATATATATATATATATATATATATATATATATATATATATATATATATATATATATATATATATATATATATATATATATATGTGTGTATAGTACGTATATAATTTCAATAAAGTTTCCATTATTTCATTGTTATTATTATTATAATTATAATAGGTTATCTAATCTAGAAGAGCTTCACTCAAAACGACGTTTTGATCATTGTGAGGGACGTAGTGAAACGTCTGAAGTTGGGGGGCGGAGGAATTTCACCTGAAATTTGAATTAACTTCAATGTTGAAAATTTAGCTGAAGTGTAATAATTATAATATACCTTTTTCTGCACTGTCATACTAAGGGTCTGGGGGTCTGAGGGGTCTTTACATTTTTAAAGCTCCAGAACAGCATTTTTGGCGTTTTCTAAAGCAAATTCGCAAACGAACTGTTGGATCTAAATAGCGAGCTAAATTGACTGTATTTCACAAAAAATAACGACTTTATTAGACTTATACTAATGTAACCTGAAAATGTCAAATTAAATTAACTTGATTTTTAATTTTTTTATATACCTGAATTTCACAGTTCGGGGGGGGAGGGGTGACACCCCGGTTGTTATGTCTCTGATCATTGTTTCTCATCTTTCGTTTAATTATTGCACTTTAGTCCAGGATATATTTAGTATATGAGGAAAGATGATGTCCACTCCTGTGCACATGCGCGAACTTTGTTTACGTTTTGAACTGCTATATTTGTAAAATATGATATACTAACTGAATATCTAACACTTTTCTCAGTTTTCTGGTTCGCTATACTTGTAAATGAATATAAACTATACGTTTTAATTCAAAAAAGTTCGAAAGATGCAAAATTTGGGCAATGTTTATATCTGGGGGTCGCCCTTTGTTATGAGCAGAACTGTGCGCAGAACCGGGTCATGATTCATGAAATAAAATGTTCCGGTGTTATCTTTTAAGACAATCGTTCCCAGTACTCATTAACGATTTAAGCCTCAAATGATCTATATCCGCAACAAAGAACAAACAAACGCCGAGCCTTTTTTCAAATCTTATTGTTCCCCACCCCCACGAAGTATTCCGGTTGTGTCATCATTGTGGTAATATGATAGCAGCGGGGTTAGTTGCGTCTCTACAGGATCACTTATGAATATCAACTGGCGCATTTCGCTCGCCTTTATACATCAAGTATTGTTGATCTGTATTGAAGATAAAACTGAAAAGTGACATTTTCACTATCTCGGCGTGTTGTCAATGACATCAAACGAGATATATTTGTAGTGAAATCGCGATACGCTGCCAAGCGAGTGCAGTAATTTGTTTTGTAAAGTCGGAGAATATATTGTGACCTGAATATGAATGGGTTTTATATCGTCCTCGTGTTTCTGTTGGTTTTACATGCTAGAGTGAATTCTATGACCAAGAATGGCAAGAAAACATGTCCACAACTTACAAGTGTCAGTCAAAACATCCCACAGACTTTAATATTGAAGAATCCAACTCAAGGTTTGCAAATTATGATATTCAAACAGTACACGCTTGACGCTTAGTGGAGTAATATTTAGTACTCAAAGCGTCGCTCTAAACTTCATCGATGTAAATGAGATCTGATTATCGTGGCTTTGTTACATGATTTCGATACCGTCTGTTTGTCTTATAGGTCATAATTTGAAAATATGTCAGAGTAATTTGACGTGTTGTTCGAAGCAAATGGAAAATGAATTGTACATGAAAAGCAGCAGGGTTCTAGAAGACGCTGTACATAAGCAAGCGAATGCTACACATCATTTTTTAACAACACAGGCGTCTCTATTTGATGGTAAGTAGGGGAAAATATGAAGTTTTATTGCAAGTAGGTTTTTGTGTAATAAAGGCAATAAGGCAATGGCCAATGTATGTGAACAGATAGCCATATTAATAATGCCTTTAGCGTCATTGTTATATTTATACATCATAAATACTTTAGTATTTAGAATTTTAAATCAGTATGTTGTTTGCTATGTTTTTGGTTGAATACAGTTTCAATTTATCAACAGTGAAAGCTGTTGTTATGAGCTTTAGATTTATAGCTCCAGATTGGCCGTACGTCACAATTATGTTGAATGACCGCCTTTTGAAACTTTTTCTGTGTTCGAACTAATCAAGCGTTCCCAATGTGACAGAGATTAATAATGCGGAATATTACCGCTATAAACATACATGCCGTGGTACGATTGTCTATTTGAAATTTCATTAAACGATAAGTTGTCAGTCACTCATCGAAATATCACCCTTCAATTAACTTTGATGGCAAAATGATTCCACAGGCATGTACTATGTATATTGGCGACATTACCGCGAAAACCACAAAAAACATCACGGCCGAATTTCCTGCGCTTTGCAGATTAACTTTAATCCTTGTGCCTGTGTATTTTGACACGAAATCTGTTTATATCAAATAAGCCCTCCTGAGATTTTTCACTGATCCGACACTATTCACTGGTTAGATACAAAAAGTAAATGACTATCATATGGTATATGTGTTTAATGAAAACAAGGACTATAGCTGGCATGTCCGCAGTTGTGTTGAAAAATAAGGACAAACGTTTGGGAAAATTACTATCGTTTTCTTCCCTCCATAAATCAGTTTATACATAGACATAGTGTAAACATAACAAGGTATGCCTTCTACATTCCAATTATAGTTACTAACTTTACAAATGATTATTGGAATATTGCGAGAATATGTACCTATGCCATAGGTTATGCCTATGGTCAATATCAAAGTTTGGGATTTGAAGTAATGCAGATAAATGCATTTTTATGTGTTGAGATGGGTCGTGACTTTATTTTCATATCACCATTACCAAGTATGTCAACAGTTTTAGTAGAATGAAAATTGGGTGATAGAATACACAAATTTCCCCTGATTTGCCTTGGGTTAACCGTCGTTAAACCTGATTAGTTTTTAATTTGATGTTTTGTATCAATGGACCTAACCCAGGCTGAACACAAGTGAATTTAAACCCTATTCCAAGGTAATTAAATATATAATTTTGTATCGGTAACATTATATTCAGGTGCAAATGAAAAGCACATTTTATTGTATCAAGTATTTGTAGGTAAGATTCATGACCATTCATGGCTACCATTTTTTAACATAAACTTTATTTCATGGTTGATGGAAACATGTTTTCCCACAAAAACACTTGGTAGTATAATTTTTTTAGCTTTTGTGGTTTGCAACATCAACCAGTCAAAAGGACTGACCAGCCTGAATCTTCTAAATATTTACAATGAGTTTTACTACGATTTGTATCTTGCATCCTACTAAGCCTAAGAGCATCAGAATTTGTTGTGTATTAATTAAAATGTTGAACTTACAACTTGAATATACAAAGAATAACTACAGGCTCAGATTGTATTGAAAATATACAACCATAATTTTGCCTTAGATTGGGCACTGTTTGAATTGGTACAAGGTCAATCATTTAAATTTTTAATTTATGGCTATGAAGGATAAGTCAATAATGAAGTTAGTAGGCAAATATTGTTTCGACGTTTTGGCTGCTTTTGATAGCCTGGTCTAATTACTCATGTGTGCGTGTGTATGTATGTGTATTTATGCATTTATCAACTTTTTTCATATATATGAATATCTATGTTATTGTTATAGACCGTAACGACTTATTTAGTTATTTACCCATGTATTCTATGTCCCAATATTGGGATCTTGTTTGAATAAATTATTATTATTATTTAAAGCAAGAGGTGTTTTTACTCTTAAATGATTGTACAAGTATTTTTGGACTACCTGATGTTACATGTCAATGGGAGAGCACTGGTACTCAATGGGGAATCAGACTATCTGCCCATGCATGTATCTGGTTAACCCAACAATTGCATTGTGCCCATTATTTTACTCTGTCTAATGCCAGACGATTTTTGTCAAGGGGAAAACACTGGTACCCATTGGGTTAATTGGGAATCTTGAAAAAGTCTAGGGAAAAGTAGTTGCTCACTAGATTGGCCAAGTATAAAGTAGGTTTACTGTAGTTTTGACTCACATCCTAGCAGAAAGCCAGAAACAGCTGACTAGTTATGGAAATAAAATACAATTATAAAACAAAAACTGAAAAATGTAAACATCTTGAACAAAAGTATGCACTACAAGAACACCTAACTCTTGGGTTTTCAAGACATTTTTTTGTTGCTTTTATTTTATACTTTATTTCCTGACTGAAATTTACTAATACTGGCCACAGCTAACCCCATTGAGATGGCTATGGGGGAAGGTATAAGCTGGAATTAATTAAATCAGTAGAAATGTCCTTGAATTGGTAAAATATTTTATACTTTATTTCCTGACTGAAATTTCTTTGCAAACCACATGTAGAATGGAAGTTGCATTGTAACTCAGTAACTACTACATATTCTATTGTTTTAACAACCCACAACCACAGATGGTTCTTATTCATTTGAGAATTGAGGAAGAAATTTGTGCTCCCAAAACAGGGTAAAAGTTAGGACAGTTCAAAGACAAAGTGAATGAACTTTACCCGCATTTGCAGTTTGAAATATGAATGATTTTGTCAGGAAACAGGATGGTTTTACATTTGATTACTCCAGTGAATAATTTATAAAATTTTAGAAATTATAGTATTGTTCAATAATTTGGCATTAGTTTGACTTTCTTTATATATATATATATATATATATATATATATATATATATATATATATATATATATATATATATATATATATATATATATATATATATATATATATATATATATATATATATATATAATGCAGGTTTAATTGGTTCATTGCCCGACGGGAAAATGACAACATGCTTTTATAGTACATGCTATAAATAGTTAATAGGGACTCTTCTAAGTCTATACTCTATAGTCTCGTGTATATCTAATAGTAGATTGTGTTCGATGCTCTAGAGTCTAGGCAAACTAGGAAACATTGTTGTGGAAACGTAGTAAAGTTTTGTTGAATGTTTTCTTTGAGCTAACTCATTTAAAACCGAATATATCCACTTACAAAGAAGTCAAGACAAGGAAACTTTCATCGTGAATACTTTTGTAATTTGAGCGCAGGAAACACTAATTTCCTGAATTTTAAACCCTTAATGTAAAAACGTTATTAGGTATTATATGACATTGGAAAGCATTTGTTATCAATCGAGTAGTTTCTAAACATGGTTTTCATTCTTTGCAAAACCCTGCACCCTCTTTCCAACAGAAAATAAACGTTGTGAATTTTGGGCAGAAAATCGTACCAACATAATGATTCTTAGTAACTTCAGATGACAAATATAATCCAAAATTATTAATTAAAAAAACTTTTTAATAAATGGATACCTCGTGCAATAATAGATTCAACTTCCACCCCTTTTGCGAAGCCTTTTATCAAAATTTATGTTTTTGTCAGTGTAGATAGTTTAAGTGAGTTTAGCATAGACATAGTAATAATGTTTACGATCGTTTGAATAGAACTAAGATTAAGAACATGTTTTGAAAGTTAAGAATATCTTGAGTGCGGCCCTGTGGTTGTGGTGTTACAGTGTAGGTATACAGTTCGTGATGAACAATAATCAATATTCTTGATTTTTGAATGAAAGATTTATGATCTAACCAAAAAAAATGAAAAGAACTCCGACGTTTCAAGGGAAGGCCCTTCGTCTGGAAATTTGTGAACTCACCAACGCAACAGCCAAACGAAGCCGAAGGGCTTTTGCTTGAAAAGGCTTATCGTTTAATATGGCAATATAGGACGCCTTGCATTGCGTTGCATGTGTAATTACATTGGCCATTGCATTGCATTACATTACATTACAAAACATATAAAAGCGTGTGTTTTCGACAGATCCCGATACAAGCCTAGCCCTAGTTTTCATGTTTTGTGAAAACCATGCTGCATGTAGTAATTTTTGAACAACGAATGTTGTTTTCTATGACTATATGAACAACAAATGTTATTTGTTGTTGACTGATGTTTTGACTTTTGTATATTACTTTCTGTTCATACTTTATTCACTTTATTCGAGATTAGGTGTTGGATTGAAACAATATTATAATCAATAGATTTCCTAATATCTATGCTATTAATTAAATAACATTTCAGAATAATATTCGCGTGATATGTGCTCAAGTGGCTCTCTTGAGATAATGTCAGTTGAAACTGGAGTGCAGATGTTGATGTCGTGATGATCTTGTTATTAATCATGACTTGTTCAATCTCATTGTCGCAGTCAATTTTGTGTAGACCGCGATATACCGTGCACTGGTGCAATAGTTAATCTGACACTCTGACATTATTATTTCCAATCCATAACTTATTAGCATACAACGTAACAATATATTTGCTTTCCTGACCATAACTGGTGCTGTGCAGGAAAAAATAAACACAGTCACAGGAACTAACGAGGGAACTGGCATATTTTAGTATACATGCACTATATTAAGCTGTATGTACATGCAATAAAAGAAAATTGTATGTGCAGTCCTGAAAGAAAATCAAGCATTTCGTGACAAGCACTAAAATGGTCTAATATTTTACATAAAGAAATCTTTCTGTGTTCTGTGATTTGGCTCCCGCAAAGTGTAATATCCCCCCTTAAATAAGAATAATGATTGACGTCGATCTTACATGCATACAGATACATATTAGGTTCTTTTTTGTTTATAAACATGCATATTAAGCCATTTGTAACCTTATAACATGTTTTCTATGTGTTTCTTAAAATTTTACGAGGCAACCAATCCTGCCAAGATTAATTAATAGATTTTCATTTGAAAAATCCTTAGCGACAGCGTTACAGATTCACTCATTTAGTCAACCAGAAACAGGATTTTAACAGCTTAGTTATAAGTAAATTCATCATAACAAATTACAAATCATTATGAAACTTTGCGCGCAATTGTTTGGTTGTAAAGTAAAGGCAAGGGTTTTAGGATGGCCTTGGACGTGAATGACCTTCTACTGTTCTAGAACTTTCTCTAGCATTTGCTTAATTTTTAGTGGGAAAATGGTATTTGGACCATTGGGAATGGGATTAAATATATCATTTGCACTAGCAATTTTCCTGTTGAGAATGGGATTTGGCAAATCCATGGTCGAGTGATTGGGATTCACACACAAAATTGTTTCTGGAAGCATAGGGTTGCCCCCCCCCCCCTCTCTTCACGACCTTTTAACTATGTTGTTATAAAATGTATGCACAATAGGAACTTTGCCAGGATTGAGATGCCTAATTATTACATTTACATATAAAGAGATCTCCTAAATATATCTTTGCCTTTGGTGATACCCAAATTTTATTTAATTTTTTGTTGTTTTCGTTCTCCTAATTTGGAAAATTTTAAGGCAGGACTACAATACTCCAATAGTGTTTTAAACCAACACACAATTGTAACATGACAGTTGCGATATTGCAGCTACAATTCTGGTTTAAAATTCCTTGAGACACCACAGCATGTATTTGCGTCTTATTATAACAGTTTTTCCACCAAAAGTTAATATAACGAGAAATTATACTGTGCTCTTTCTAAGCGTCCACGTGCAGTGTTGATTTACAAACATGGTCAACTGAAAATTTGGAATTTTCAACATTGCATATAGGGGAGAGTAGGTGTTGTCTTTAGTATTTGTACTTAGAAATTGTTAGATGTCCAAAAACGTTTGTGGCTAGGGTGTAGAGAATTTGTTTTACTGCTAAACTTCTAATTTCCATACACAGAAGGATTCTAATTACCAGGTTTATCAGTATATTCGTCACAATTTCCTCTACCTTCTCATAAGAAAAATAACGTAACATTTTATATTCTATCTTCCAGGTTACCTCAAGAATCTGATAAAAACAGCGAAAGTGAAATGGCATGACATGCTCAATATAACCTACAAAGACATGTATCTACAAAACCGTCATATTTTTGATGATTTTTTCTCCACCTTGGACGAGTATTACGTGAATGGTGATATCGATCTTGACAGATCTTTCAATCTGTTTTTCCAGCGAATTCAAACTACGATGTTTATTTTAATATCCGAAAAATTTGGCGGTAAACTAAGTCTAGAATTCTTAAACTGTACATCAAAACGTGTCGATAAAATCAAACCATTTGGACTCTACCAGCGCCAAATTTCAAGTCAATTGAAATCATCACTTGTCATGGCTCGAACATTTGTTCTGGGACTTCAAGCTGGTAGCAATGTTACAGCATCGATCATTAGTTATCTGTCACGAAATGAGTGTAGAGAAGGATTCACCAAGATTCAACAATGCTCAGTGTGTGAAGGAATACCAGATGCTATGGTGTGTAATGCAACCTGTCATAATCTTCTTCAGTCCTGTTTCTCACTCGATCCACTCTTTGATACGTATTGGAATAATTTTATTAGAGGTTTATACGTATTAAGTATTGGACTGGATGGTCAGTATGACATTGAAGCTGTTTTTGGACAGCTCAGTTTCGATATCTCAACTGCCATCATGGAGTTCCAGAGTAACTACATTCAAGTTCTCGCAAAGGTTTGTAATCGAGCACTGAATTCAATTGATGTACTTCCACTCTTCATGAGAACATTTGCTCGAATACTGTTGCTGCAAAATCAGGCTGGCTATTAAGGACTAAGTAATGATATAGGATGAATCCTGCCATATACAATCGAATTTATCCAACCTCGTCCCCAGGCTCTTACATCTTGTGGAAGAAAAAACCTGGTAGGAGCTGGTCACGTGATCTGCTAAAATCTAGCTGATTTTTAATTGATGATGATGTTCAAAAAATATTTGATATTTATACTTTAATTTTGTTTTGCATTGCATTTTGTTTTGCAAGTTTGATTTGATTTTAAAGGAATCCAATTAGAAATTTGCGACTGGTCACGTGATATGCTAAAATCTAGCAGATTTCTAATGGACCATTTGCATTATAGACTAAATTTTGGTCTAGACAAAAATTTCATCACAGCTTGAAAGAGCATCACAAAATTAGTAATATTCCAAAGTTTCGTTGCGAAATGTTGTAAAATGCGGATAATATAGCCTTGCGAAGTTTGCCGTTTTTCAGTCATTTTGTATTACGCAATACGCACGGGAAATTGACAGCCCAATCGGGTGTTGGGGCATCAATTTCCCGTTTGTAATACAAAATGACTGAAAATTGGAAATTTTGCAAGGCTATATTATCCGCATTTTACAACATTTCGCAACGAAACCTTGGAATATTACTAATTTTGTGATGCTCTTTCAAGCTGTGATGAAACTTGGCAATAATGCAAATTGCAAGTTATAAATTAAAGTATAAATATCAAATTTTTATCAGCTAAAAATCAGCTAGATTTTAGCAGATCACGTGACCAGCTCCTGCCAGGGTATTTCCTCCACAAGAGGCAAGAGCCTGAGAACGAGGTTGGAATTTATCTAGGCTTAGGAACGCCACATATTGTAACAACAATTAATATCAACAATTGTGAGTGAAGAAAATAATTTTCTCATTGTGCAGCCGATATGACGTTTACGAGGTCATGCGAAAAAAACACCATGAGTTTGAAAATTGTTTTGGCTTTCTATACAGTAATTCCCCGCAAGACGCTACCTCTCTCCTCCGCAGAGGTTATTCACCCTATCAGGTTATTCTATAAATAACATCTGCGGAGGAGAGAGAGGCGCTACTTTGTGTTCCATTTTGTATTCTAAGATGCACGAGTTATAAATTCTTTTAATGTCTTGAGAACTGAAATTATGAAATTTTCATTTGTAGGCACAACAGGAATGCCCCACTGGAAGTAGAAAGAAGCGAGCAATAGATAAAACTGGAAGTGACCTCTACTTAGAAGGAGAACGAGTTCGAAGAAGCTCAGTCTCAGATTTATTTTCACTTTCTTCACCAAAGCAACTACCAACTTACCCGTCTCTTGACAGGTGAGAAATTTTAAATTTTATACACTCATTTTTTCTTTTTCGGATTTACATCGCTACAAATCATCACGTGATGAACATGTACCAAAACCAAAGTGCATGAATTTTGGTTTTTGCTTTGTTATTATTGCTGCAATATTACCGCTCACATGAATTGTACAATGCAAACTGTTTTGAGTGAATTGAAAAAGTGTGGTTAAGGTGTTGGTGAACTGGTGGGCTTGTATATAAGAGTGGCTTTATAGGTTTTATACGCTGTAACATTGGTACGTGTCTATTTAATTTCACTAAGGTTAACGACCGCCTTCCGAAAGAAATTGGATGGGATAAAAGATGCGTGGAGACATCTACCCCAAAAAGTTTGTGGTGGACAAACTTTCGTCTCTCGCGACCGTAATGAAAGTTGTTGGAATGGAATAGACATGCAAAAGTAAGTATTAACATTGTAATATATTCACATTTACTCACATTGACATTCTTGCATGGATATATAAGGACATCTATTAATAAATGACTTTAGCTAGGGAGGGGCTAAACATATATATATATATATATATATATATATATATATATATATATATATATATATATATATATATATATATATATATATATATATATATATATAAAAATATATATATATATATAAATTGCACTGCATAATAAGCGATATACTGTTGATTTATTTCAAGTTGAGTTATATCAGACAATATTAGGTTTACAACCTGGTTATGTCACTACGTATAAGTGAAAATATACAGGCCATTCGATGTGTGTGTACTTGATGACGCGTACTTATACTGTATGTACTGTACTCAACATATACCGTATGTTCATGTGTGACGAGTGCAGGTATACGTAAAGCACGAGTCGGCAAAAGTCCAGTTTGCCTGTAAATCTGTTGGCATGATCAAAAACGCCCAGCGTTGGGAATAGTCTGAGGGGATGTTACCTATTGTGATGTTACTGGCGGCATGCGTTTGTCCTATTGAGTAACTGCTGCGCTACATGCAGTGCGCTTATCCAACTGATTGATTCCTTCGTTTTCTATTTACTTCAACGACTATTTCTCACAATCACACACAAAAATGTAAATATCTTTGTGTATAACTTTGTGAAAAAAAAGTGCAGTTGAACATCACATTTTGATTAGTATAGATCGTTTTAATTTGTCGTCAGTAAGGAGTACGAATTTTTAAATAGTATATAGACCGACTATATATAGATTGCTATGTCGTCATTCGTTTGTATTAATATTTTATTGATATAATATATTATACGATTTACCTATATCGTATTATAAATGGCATGTAATGATTTTTTTAGGAATTCAGGAAAAGTTCCAAGTATTAAACTGGAAAATGGTAATCACCATTCACGACGGCTAATTGTGGAACAATTGTTGAACTTGAAAGATATTGGGAATGAATTTAATTTAGTAAATCCTAGTATTCCAGTAGATCCAGTAGATCCAGTAGATCCTGATGAAGATCTAGGGAGTGGTAGTGCTAGTGGTTCCGGATCTGGAAGTGGTGAATCGGGATCTGGTGTCCCAGATACAACTGCCAAGATCACTTATGTGTTTACGAGACCTTCACCGTCTACTGATAAAATCCCCTTACCTGTTTCTACAACAGATCAAAGTACGTCGTCTACTGATGATGGTATGGAAGGCTCTGGCACAACATCATATAACAAGTACACTACAACTACGATATATGTAAATGAAGCCACTACAGATGATGAAGAATTAGGTCCGTCTGGTTCTGGGGATAAAGAAACAACGGATCCGATCCCGACCACCGAGCCCATGTTTCCTCCAACAAAAAATAATAGTACAAAAATTTTTTTACTATCATTAACTACAGGAACTATACCTGTGGACAATGGTTCTGGCAGTAACATGATGTCATACGTTTTCTTACTGCTTGTGACACTTGTAGGCCTCATGAATATGTAATTCAAATCTCTCTCTTAGCGCTTTTGCGGTTCACGACTGTTCTCTATTAGACGACCTGCATCTAAGCATTTATAATACAGTTATGCAAATTTGTACTCGTATAAGAACCTGAAATCTAACTGGTTATATGCAGATGAATATTTGTTATGATGAAGTGCTCATCCATCCTTTGGGATTGTTATACCAAAATATAGGCTATAGTATCCAATTTTAAAGGCGAAGGTTTGAAGCTTCTTGTGGTGATTGTTTCATAAACGCGCATTGAGTTAAATATTGGATAGCAAAAGCATCTCATGACTATACACAAAAGTCCTGTGTGAGCAAAATATTATTCGCATTAATATTACGGAAAATTATAGGGGTAGAAAAATTAAATATTGACATGTAAAACATAAGAATATTATAATCTTAAAGTAAGATAATTACAGTATTTTACTAATATGCTGCCTATAGCCTTTGTACTTTATGATCTCGTTGACCGCTCATTACGAAAAGGCTGGTTAGTTTTTCAGGTTGAAGGATGGTGCAGGTTAATGCAATAATCAAGATGGCATTTGGCATTTAACTTACCAATATACCTGCCAATAAGCATTTGCTATTTTTTTGCTATTTTTGGTGTGACGAAAAATTGATTATTAAGCAAAGGCAACCAATAGGGAAAAATGATGAGGCTATTCGTTCTTTATGTGCTTAGATGCAGGTTAAATAATATATTATAACGAAAAAGGAAGCTGGTAATATCAATAAAACGTATCAAGTGTGTGGTTTTATCTCTGTACATTACAAAAACACAATCACTTGAAAACATTATTTAGGGAACTTCCCATTTTACCATTAGTAATGTTGTATTATATATATACATATATATGTACTATTTAAAACATGAGCAGCAGTGTTTTATCAGATCTTTAGGTCTGATAAAACACGCACTGCGAATGTTTTAAATTGCTTCAAAAACGATCGATCTAGTAAATTAATTGGCGAAGTAATTTTCAAAAAATACGTTGTGTAAGTCGAGAAAATCAAAGTTACAGTTTATGTAAATCAAGGGAAATCTCTACCACATATAAAGATACGACACGCTGCAAATTTTTCTAGTGTTTTCCTCGTGAATTATTGAGTTTTTGAAATATATACATATATACCGCGTAAGTGCCACAAAATGAATCTTTACTATTTTTAAGCTAACTTTTAAAGCATTCTTTTTCCTCATTTTGTAATATTCAACAATATTTTACAAGTATAACTGTAGTGTAGAAGCAAGTATTTGCAAATGTAGTATAGTTTTTAATCGTACTTAAATTAAAATAACATACAACAATTGTTAAGTGCTGAAGATTGTGTAAATGAAAATTTCGAAGGTAAGTTGTATAATTTATTTAGACCTAATAGGCCCTCTGGGCTCTGGTGCAACTATAGGCCATCTAGTGCAACTATATAGGTCATCTAGTGCAACTATATAGGTCATCTAGTGCAACTATATAGGCCATCTAGTGCAACTATATTGGCGCTGTGGTCAGTGTTGGGTAGTAACGAAGTAAATTTACTTCGTTACTTTACTTAAGTAAAAAAATCAGTATTTACTTGTAACGAAGTATTTTTTTAAATGAAGTACTTTTTACTTGTAACGAAGTACGATTTTTGGTAAATATTTACTTTTTTACTTCGTTACTTTTGTTATATTTTGGCGAAGTAAAAAAGTATTTCTCAAAGCGGTGAGTGGACTGGAATACATAATAGAGATATTCAAAGAAGAAAGTTGTTTTACCACGTTACTTACACGTTCTACTCCTGCCTAGAACTATGCATTCTATTCCTGCCGTGTTCTATTCCTGCTTAAACCTTTGCGAATTTATATTCTATTTTAGTAGTACTTTTTTTAGTACTTTTTATAGTAGTACATATTTTCCCAATACTTTTCTTTTACTTAAGTAAAATTTTCAGGCAGTACTTTTACTTAAGTAAAATTTTCAGGCAATATTTTTACTTAAGTAAAATTTTCAGTCAGCACTTCTACTTAAGGTTACAGAACACCTTTGAGTGTTGATTTTGCCTAAAAAATGTTTATTGGTTTCAATGAAAGCATTAGACTAGTTCTACTATCTGACCAAGTTTGAACGAAAAATGTTGAAAACTCGCAGAGTTATTTAATAAAATACATTTCGCTGCAATAAGAAAAACATTGAAAATGTAATATTCAAATTCAATTTTCTCCCGAAGAATTTTACGGTAATTACTGATTTTCAAACGAGTTGTGCTCCTGCGGGTTTTAACCAATTTTTCTCACATTTTCACAGGACATAGCTAAATACGTCAGCTTCAAAATTGTGTTCGGCTTTTTTTAAATGTTGGATATTTTAAAAATAAAGAGCAATTCACTCAAACAATTCAGAAATATATTGCAGTCATCAAAGAAATCGCCATATCAACGGAATGACGAAATAAACAAAAAATTCCGAACACAATTTTTTAGAACAACTATTTTACTGTATAAAAATGATATTTTCATAAATATAACTTAAAACCAGCAGGAACACAACTCAAAAGCGTAAAGGTACCGCGATTTAAGATTTTCCTGAATAATTCTTACATTATTTTATTGCTTGTTAATTTTACAACTTTACCATATTTTGTATGCACTGGAGAACATTTGGTGAAAATTTGGTGAAAATCGGACTGATATTGAGCGCGCAGTAGCGATTTTCCGCAAAACGCCAAAA